ACTCACTCTACCCGAGCCCGCTGGCTGGATCGGAAAGCACTGCGGTTATCAGCAAGCGCGGGCTGCAATGGGGAGGAGCAAGTATGGGTTCTAATGGGTAGGGCATGTGTGCGGGATGGAGGACAGCTTACAGAGATGGGCAAAAAAGTGGAACCCAGAGGTCATAGACCAAAGCCTAAAGCCAGATAGTGGGATACTGTACGAATGGACCTTGGAAGTCGAGTATGTATGCATGATGAACTTCTTTCGCACCATACATAGCCAAGTGTGATAAATCGGAGGTGGCGGGGAAAGACAACAAACCAAACACAAAAAGCAGTTCTAAAAAAATTTGTTTTCAACCTAGATGATGATTTAAAAGTGCATAGCTCCAGTGGCGTCTTAATATCGGAAGAGCGTTCCAGACGGCCACAGAAGTGCTTCTGAAAGCGCATGGATGCAGTGCAAAATTTGCAAAGCAAACTGTGCGGTGATTCTGGAATCCAGCAGAGAATGCAATACCAAAGTATCGTGGCACTAGCAAAGATGTAATGCACACACATTGTATAATAACGTCACATTTCTTTGTTGTTAAGGTCCAGCTTGGGATATTTGGCCACCTAGGAGTGTTTGTGTGGGAGGAAAATGGAGTGCCAAGAGAAAACTCGCACTATACACAGGCAGGTCACAATCGTCTCGCTGATATCTACACTAAAGGGGCGTCATTTCACACTATCCCATACCATCACATGCTTTTAATTGGATATAAACCCTATATGTAGCAAACCTTCCTGCAAAAATAGAACTTAAACAGAATCCCTGCATCGCCAAAACTCAATCACAACCATCTTTGAAATACATCAGTGTTAAGATGCACTGGGATATTTTTTGTTATATTTAGAATGGGGAAATGCACTGTAATACCTGATCATATATTACTGGATTTTCCAATAAAACACATCTTCTGTATTTTCTCATAAATCTGGGCTGTCTCATGTTATTACTCGGGTGCCGTTTCGGAAAAGTCATTTTTAAAACATTATTCCGCTTGGTTAGATCCAATATACTAGAAGGTTAAATTTGAAATAAAATATTAATAAGCAAGATATATCACCACACTTCTTGCTCACACCGGTCAGTGCCATTTTTAAATATCAGCAAGATGCGTAGAGGCTACCGTGAGAGAAACCCTCTCGAAAGAGTAAAACAACGAAATTAATTATCCAAGCGACCACCTTTTTTTTTTGCTACGTATGGTGCGTGTACCGACTAGGCAGAACGACTCGGACAGATTGGGCCAAGGTCAAATGCAGACAGAGCCGAGGGCCCCCCCCCCCATCCCCTTAAGACTTCACCGGCATCCATTTCGGAAAAGAAAATGCTCTGCCAAGCTCCACCAGCGTGGCCCTCCTGGCCCGACACCAAGCCAGCTTCACAGGCTCCAGAGAGGAGGAGGAGGAACGAACCCCAACGGTCGACGCGCCGCCCTCCGTCTCGGGTCTCCGTTGGGGCTGCCGCTCCCCCCAGAAATAGCCGGGGAGACGCGAGCGGCGGTGGCGCCGCCGCCGCTCTCTCCGCGACGCCGTGGCCGCCAGCGCCCCTCTACCACGCGGCAAGCGCACGCGTGCACGTGCGTTGCCATGGCAATCCACACGACGACGACGCTTTCGCCAGGTGCCGCCGCCATCATCCCTTCGAAGAATCAAGAGGGGCACAAAAGGCATTCTTGTCCTCTCCTACTCACTGCCGTGGGTAGCTATGGTGGACGTGTCTGTGTGTGTGCGTGTTGTGGCCAACTTCCTCATTAGACATCTGGCCCAGTCATGAGGTAAATGTGACCCGCAGGTTAGCGATGTTATTGCAAACATTCAAAAGCTGCTAAGGGCGACAACTACTGCGATTAAAAATAAACAGCACGAAAACATTCCCAGTCATATCTGCACCTGCACTGGAGAAAAGCCTCCTGTCAGTGCGGCTTCATTCGTGGACCAACAACAACAACAACCTCCAAAGGCACTCGAAACCCCTCTCTCCCCAAGCCAGACTCCATTCCAATCATTAGCCAGTCAACAACATAAATCCCTCCACTATCACATATCAACTGATATTCCAATATGGATTTTTCCAATGCTCTTTACGTCGCAATTTAAAATGTAAGAATGTGTTACAATCATTCTCCATACCAGCGGGTTTTGAACCCAGGTCTCACGTATTACAAAGACATGTTAAAAGTAAAATATGAAAGTTCTCATTGTTTGAGAACCACCGGCTAGGCCTCACCACATCTATCACGCCCTGGCATTGCCTGCAATGCGACCCCCTCCCGCTGTCCTGGCCCAGCGTTCGCAGTTCAACACCAGCAGGCCGCCCTGGTTAAAACTGCAAGTGCATTAACTGTGATAATATGGCCCCGTCTGCTTTAAGGTGGATGTTAAAGATCCCACTAAGTCAGTCCAAGAAGAGTAGATGTTTGTGTCGGCATCATGGTCCAAATTAGCTCATTTACTCAGAATTACTTCATGGGAAACGCACAGCCATCATCATGGCCTCGTGCTGCAAAAACACTTCCCTAGACCCTGCTTATAGAAAGTTGACTCGGTGAGCCTTTTCTGGGTAACCAAGCGGAATAATAATTTTAATTAGAAGCCATCACTGGTGAGGCACAGCAGGAATTCTCACAGTGTTTCACTCGAATGGCCTGCTTCCTACCAATCACTTTGGAGGAGGCTCTTCAATATGCTCAGAGCAGAGTGAAGAGCAGGACACCTCACGGAGGAAGGAGGGTTTCTGCATGTGTTGTTGTTGTGTTAGTGCTACTATCAAGTGCACTGAAGACAACACCTGCTCACGGCTCCCATGCATTCATACGAATTGCTCCATCTCCACCCTGGGGTTAGGATGTCAGCGGAAGCTGGGTTCTTTCCCTTGCAGGATAAAGTACCTTGAGATACAAACTCACCTGCATTACGCAACACCAACCCAGCGCTTTTTTACTTTTTAAGCAAACATACCTCCAAAAGACAAATAAATGTGTCTGACAGGTAGGACGTTGAAGTTTTTATGTCACAATCAGGATCTTGAATATTGAATGATACAAAAAAGGCTTTACCCTTTCTGACATAAGCACAGGAGGTGTTAAGATGTTCAAACACCAAATAGACAACACCTATTACAAGGCATTAAGTCTGCATTCACCACAGATACTTGTGATAAAAACATGCAAACACAAATAGTGCTGCAGACCAAAGGCTGCCAAAACATCTTCACACCTCCTGGATTTATTTCCAGAAAAGGTAAAGCCATTTTTTTGTATCACTCCATATCTTGATACTGGCAAAAAGGGCCAATTTATTTGAATTTGAACAATATGATGCTTCTATATTGTCTAAAAAAACACTTGGGTTTTAAAAGTGTAAAATAAAAAAAATCTGGACATTAAAAAGGCGAAAAAAGTTGGGAAGAACCAATAGGCGTCGTGAGTTTAGCATTGGCCGTATTTATCAAGCCCTTAGGTAGAACCAACCGCGAACGCAGGGGCTGCCTCCGCCTCGCGTGAACCGTGCAGTTTTGTTTTGTTAAGGTGGGGGAAACGCAAATTATTAACTTTGGCTCCAAATAAAAAAAAAACACGCATTTACGCTAAAAATAAAAATTGTATAAAAAGAGTAAAAGTACTTTCAAAATCCACAACCCAGAATTGACTCGACAAATAATGTCTCTGTTCCCATTACGGAGCCTAAAATCCCAATAAAAGGACCTCCCGGGCTACAATGTGTTCTTCACTTTACGAGCCACACGTGCTCTCGCTCACGCTCTGGAATTCCAAGGCGCTGCTGTCAGTGGCAGTGGCCAGGCCGCCAGTTGACGCGCGAAATCTTTTATATCCCCATCAATCACACAGCAGCCGCAGCAGCCGCAGCAGCCGCAGCAGCCGCAGCAGCCGCATCAATCAGATTCTCATTTTTACCCCGAAGGCTGACGGGCTTGGGACTTCACAGGAAACCTGCATGGACACTTTCGCTAAATTGTTGGCACAACGTTCAAGTTTGTTTGTTTGATAAATGCGACCCCCACCCTGACGCTCTCTCGTGACTCAACCACACAGCTGAGCTGTCTCAGTCAGTGGTGGTTCTCTCTAGAAGCCTACTAATACACGCAGATATTATACGTACATACAATGCGTAACCTTTGTTGGGACTGTGGTTAGAATAATTGACTCTCAATAAAGAAAGTTCAGTTCATAATCCTGGGGATCAATGGGTCCAAGATAAATCCCTTTGGGATCGATAAAATATTACCACTCGCTGTGTGGAATGTTGTCAGCAGTTATTGTACGGAGCGAATGGACCCCACCACCACAGTGAATTTGGAATGTCCACCAGGGGCCCAGGGCCCCACCAGAGATGAGCTCCATGGCATTGTTTGAGTAAGGAGACCCTGGATTGACAGAGGCATTTAGCAGAACCCTGCTCGAGATTCATAATGAGCAAATTCCAGGTGCTTCTGCAGACCAAATTGACGAATGCTACGCTGCTCATTAAAATACATGCGTCCACAATGTAAACAGGCTTCATACAATACAGTACCAGGATTAATATTATCTGACCTGATTAGATCTGGCTGTGTGTCAGAGACGTACAAGTCCAAGGCTGCCACAGGGGTCACCAAAATTACAATACCACTTTGTGATGTCAACAGTGGTTTTCCAACAGAGGAAAGCCCCTTCCATAACAATATGGAATTTATATTCTTCGTGGAATTTCCAAATCATAGACAGAGAGCTGTCAGTGGACATTGAGCCGATAATAAGATATTGGTCAATATAAAATATAAATATATTGCCAGTGTAGTGGTTGTTCTGCGGGGAGAAAGTGCCCTCCGTCAAAAGAATATGGAATTTAAATCACTGGACGTAATGTCGGTGATGTGCACCACCCTGCCCACAATCAGACGTGGGGGACAATAGACATTTTAATCAAAATCACCGTGTCAAGAGGAGTCCGAATTTACAGAGCACGCACCTTGCCACGATTTCGGGTTGACAAAAGTATCATCTCATCAAACGGGTCTCGGCACGTCTGCTCGCACGCACCCCTCTCCTCCCCGTTGCGCGTCAGTCGGATGCGCAGGTGCGGCGAGCCGGCACGCATGTCCTGCTCAATCCGAAACACGGCGGGGCCGCCGGGGTAGCCCTCCAGGGAGCAACTCCGGTGGAGGTCGGGGTGCTCGTGATCCCCGCGGGCCCTCCTCCTCACGTCCCACACGGCGCTCGTGCCCTCGCCGCTCCACTCGCCGCCCTCGATCACGAACCTCCTGCCCGCGGGCGGAGCCCGGCAGGGCAGGCAGGCGGACGTGCTCCTCTGCAAGCGAATGCGCGGGTACGTCGCGTGCCTGGCGTCCAGAGTCTCGTACCGATCCCCGCAGCTCCCTCCCCGAGCCCGCTCGGGTTCCTTTTCCGGCGGGGCACGCTCAGGCGCCGACGGTTTCTGGAGCTGCACGACAAAGCTCGACTGCTTGCCGGGGCTACCGGTCCTCTCCTTGGCGTGGCACAGCTGCTGTGCGGGTTTGGTCCTCGCCTGGCACTGCACGGGTAAAGTGGCCGACGAGGAGGAGGAGGTCGTCGACGCAGCGTCCCCCGGCTTAGGCCGGCAGCGGATGGGCAGCACCCTGATCCGGTGCACGTCGCCCCCAACGGAGCTGCGCTTTGACCGCACGTAACCGCCCCTCGCTTCGGCAAGCGCATCGGCGGAAGCTGCTCCATCGTTTGCAGACATTTCGGCCTGCCGGTGCTCCACGATGTGGCTCAGCGTCGGAGGCAGCTGAAAGGGCGGCAGGTGAAAGACCCTGCGCGGCAACAACGACAGGCTCTCCGAGTCCTGGTGCTGCTGGATCTGCTGCTGCCGCTGCTGCGGCTGCTGCTGCTGCTGCGACGGGGACAGCGACGGCGACTCCGACATCGTGGGGCTGGGAGGCGGTGTAACGCTTGGGCTCCGGGGAAAGATGAGCAAGGACGAGCATCTGCGAAGGGAGCCAGAGTCCTGCGGAATGGAAGTCCCGTTTGGTTGTTGGTCTTGCGAGGGAGAGGTGCTGGCCGCCCTCTCGACGTGCGGTTTACACCCATTCGCGCTGAGAATGGCGCTCGGGGGAATTCGTTTCTGTTTGGCGCCGCACATCAAGCCGTCCGCGGGGACGCCGTGCGGCTTGGCGGCGACGTGTTCGCCGTTCACGGACGCCCGGCCGAACTTGGTGTCGCAGGACCGGACGCGGCGACGCGCTCCATCCGGAGGCGCCTCCTCTCGAGCGTCCGCCACGAGCGGAGCGTTCCCGTGAACGCCGTCCGGAGAGGCGGCGCCATCTTCGTCGATCGACCGACACTGCAGGGAAATCTGCATGGAGGTGCTCTTCTTGCGTCGCGGCTCGCTGCAGGTCGTGGACAGCTGAGGAATGAACATGGACGAGCTTCGCTTCAGGTGAGGCGGCTCCGACGTCGAGCAAGGGGAGAGGTCGGCCTCCTGCGAATACTCGGGCGGATCGGCCGTCATCAGCACACTCCCGCAGTGCCTGGGAATCGTGAACAACCCCGTGAAAATCTCACCGCAACCTGCGAGGTTGGGCTGCGCCATGGGGGTGGGGTCCGTTTGGCTGCGTCCAGACGCGAAGCGCAGACGAAGTCGGTCGGCCATTCCGCCGCGCTATCCGGGGTCTCTTCGCGCACTTCCACGGGCTTCAAGTTATCGCGCGACTCGTGCGCGCGCACATCGGTACGCACGCGCAAAATCCGCCAAGGTCCGCCCCCGCGCAACTCGAGTCCGCCGAAATGTGGCGTTTTCCAGACGGCTACCGTTTCCGCACGCGCGTGTACGCAGGGCGGGGGGGGGGGCTCGCTCGAGGCAAACCGCTCGTGTTCCGTCGCAGAAACGCGAGCGCCGTACCGCGCATTGGGCTTGCAGGCAGCTCTAGCGCAGCAGCAGAGCGACCGAGCGACGAGGCAGTTCCTAAGTGTCTGCGATCTCAGATAGCAGAAATAGCAAAGGGGGGGGGGGGCAATGTGTCCAGCATTCCTTCCTACCCGATTGGGCAAGGGCAATTAGACGGGGGCCAACAGCAACAGTGAATCAGAGCGAGCGAAAGCCGGTCACGTGACTGCGGCCCCGGCGCTCTGCGCAAACAGCTTCCATGATACGCCGGGCACCCGTTCTATTTTAAAGTCTGGAAGCTGCCGCCACCGCCGCGTGCGCTAATCAATCCAACGTGCATCTGGCACAAGAAGAATGCACATCAGGTGCATTCGAGATTTCGCAAAGTTGAAATAACAAGTCTGGCTTTGTTTCGGAGAAGACTGCTCAGGGTACGTTGCGCGCAAGCTTCGAGAAAGTTCGGCGTGGCCCATAATCCAACAACACTCACGTTTAATTTCAAGGCAGCGAGGGAGGGGGTAGTCGCAGGGGGCTGCTAGGTATTGGGTTACAAAACTCACGAAGCTCTGCCACAGCTACTACGGCTGGCGCTTTATGTGAGAAATGTTTTTTAAAAGTGCATTCGCTGGTCACCGCAGCTTTAACGTGAAAATGTCACCTCTGTTACGTGAAATGTCCAGTACTTTTAAGCCTATAGTTTATTCCACTTCAAAACTTTAAAAACGAAGCACACTCCCAAAACGGCTTTCGGTGCAGACCAAGCATCCTTAACGGAGGCCAGTCTATCATTTTAAGTGAAACCAAATGCAGAACAGGTGTTGTATTTTTTTCCCCCTGCAAATGCTTCTGCACGCAAAGGTTGAAAGTCTGTCAATGTGCTTCCAAGAGTGTTTTTCCCCATACAAGAAATGTGTTTCAACCCAAGACTTTGCACACAATTGGAAGCCGGTGCAGACTGCCTTACGAGCATGCACAGAGTTAGCACAACACACGCACGCACACTGTCACAACGCCAACACGTGGCACAATAAATTGGACTTTACAGGGCTTCTGGCAAAAATACCCAACACTAACCCTGCGGATCATTCGCATTGTGACATTAAATAAATAAAAATCACAAAAGTGAAAGGTGCGAGTATGTGGTGGACTTCTGAAATGGGTGCAGCATTCATTGCCCGTCTACGAGGGGCGGGAGGAACAGTCGGTCGGCCAACACCACATCGCGAGGAGCCCCAACATACTGAAAGAAGATGCCTTCATCATTACATTCCAAAGTAACATGATTTGAGAACGACTGGGCTAAATTAAGCGAGTTAATGTTGCCTCTTTTTCATTTCATTGGCTTCTAGGTTTGGCCGGAGCGGACAGAGCACGCCATGCTAAAATGGGACATAAATAACGCACGCAAGGCTCCAGTTTCACTCGTGCTACGGCAACATCTGACCGCTCCAGCATTGCTGGTTTGATGAGTCACTGGCAAGGGCTGTCCCCTCCTTTAAACTAAAACCTATTGATCAGCACATGCTGCGTTCCTTTACATGATATAGCAAGCAGCTGCCCTAGGTCTCGTTAAACATAGCAATCTCGGCAAGGCCAGTCGGTATCACCAGACCAGAGGCAAGCGGCGATACGAGAGTGCAGCACAGCGATATGGAGCCAGGCCGCAGTTCACTGCACGGCCTGTTGCAGAGTTGCACACTGCGTTGACATGCCTTAGCGTGGCTCGATGAGCATTAAAAATAACTTTCTAGAAGGTCAAAAAAGAAAGTATTTTGTTGCTGTCAATTACAAGAATACGTGCAGGGTGGCACCGCAGTAAGACAGCTTTGACTAGCAATAGCAGCGGGTCACACGTTCAAATTACCACACGCAAGGCGACTCAGGCCATCTTCTCACTGGGTCACCGGTTGTGCTATGGCGTGAGAGAGGCACCCGTCATTGAAATGCAGAATTTGCGGCACTATTAGCACGGTTGGCTACGTACGGTGCGAAAGAAGTTAAACGTACGTACATGCAAGGTCCCCAACTGCGGCGAGCAACGCCCCCGTTGTTTGTTCTAACAGGGAGACACTTCGACTTGTCACTCCGCAACAGCACAAGGCACTCTCTCTTTTGGTTGGGGGTAGTAACAAAAGACAAATCTGTACCAGCCAATTAATTAATGCAACATTTTGAAGTTGTATTTGCCTTGATGGCAATGTGGTGGAGTATTCAATTGACTGTAAGGTCACGAGTGGATTCTACAATTATTTATTTACTTATTAGTCAAGGGTCAACCTAGCTCACATCATGCCTTCAAGATCATAAGATCGGAAATGAGCATCACATCTGCCCAAAGACAGTGGAGTTCCCTGCCTTAGCAATGTGGAATCTGCACCAGTAGCTTAAACCACTGGCAGGGATGAGCACCACCCAATTGCTGTTTGAGAATAATTCACTTTGACTTTTTATTAAAAAAAACCTCTTATTTTGTGTGTGTGTATATATATAGACACATCATCAAATTATCCTTGCTTGCCGTTCACCGCTGTTTACAATGCAGGGGACACACGGGATATTTTAACACAAGATGAAACTAAATTAGTGAAAGGTCACATGCTTTGTTCACCTGAAAATTTGCCAAAATTGCCAAATTACACTTTTAAAAAGACAGTCGCATCCGACGAGTCAGGCTCGTCTGTGCGGGGCCTGCAAACACGTCAATATAAACTCCTCACGGAGTCATCGACCATTGAACATCATCGCAGTCTCATTCAGAGAGGAGCAAACTAATTATATATTTATGTAACGGGTATAATCTCACAACATCTATGGCCCCCTGCAATGGTGTCTTTATATCCCTTCACAATGTTCTTAAATGTAGGAAAGTTCATGATTATGATTGCCACGCAATTGTGATACTACGATATATCGTGAAATATAAGGGCCAGAATAATTTTCACAAAGGATCATTACATTGTGTTTATTATTAATCTTTTTCATTTCTGTTTGCAAACAAAATATTTATGAATGAGCAAATAACATTAACATTAAATGAACATTCCAAATCCGAGGAATTACCCAATAAATTAGCGCTGTGAAAAACGTTTTCTGTAGTAATTGATAGCACCTCACCATTTTGGTTGTTCGTGAGATCAAAACATTTGTTCATTGTGCGACTGACGCTATCTGCGTTATAACCGTTCCAGGTTGTAACACTACACGGCAGGCTCTTGTTGAGTGGAGCACAGCTGAAGAAGACAATACATTTGTATCTTGACTGGAATTGCAGCAAACCACAAAAACTAGAATATTCTTACAATGTTACGGGAAACTGATCATCTCCAAATCGTGAAGATTTAAACGGTTCTGTACTGAGCAGTGAAAAGTAATATGGTGGTGAGTCTATCTGTAATGAACACACATGCCTTTTTGATGATAGTACAAATGGCAATGTTCTGCAATGACGTGAGATATCCATGAAGCAGGAGTTACAGCTGGATGGATGTGCATCCTTGTCTGGAGCGGTAATGTACTGCTGTTGACAGCCTGAGATTACACAAGGGTACTGTCGCCCATTTCATGATGTGGTCAGAACAACCCCGAAACGAAAGGATTATTTTGTGAAAGATCAAGTTGCAATTTGGCTTCATTTTTATTGAGTCCTGAGTAGTACGAAAAAAATCATGTTGTTTAAGTGTGCGTTTCGACAATAGTCATTGTATAAAAGGGTATCCGTCTCACCAGCCGGTTCTCGTCAAAAACTTCAAACAGCAGCCTGTGTTGTTGTGGGTTTACCTGCAAAACAGAGAAACAACAATGGCCTCATTATTCATTGCATGGAACAACAACAACAAGGCAGCTACGCGGTGGGGCGCAGGAGACTTCTTCTCTTGCCACTGCTCCACATCTCCCTACCTGCACACACATCTCCCGCTCCGCGTGGCCCAACCCTCACTAATGACCCGTCGTAACGACCCATCATAGACACCATCGTAGAGACCCGTCATGACAACCCGTCGTAGAGACCCGTCGTAGAGACCCGTCGTGACAACCCGTCGCAGAGACCAGTCGTAGAGACCCGTCGTGACGACCCGTCGTGACAACCCGTCGCAGAGACCTGTCGTGACAACCCATCGTAGAGACCCATCGCAGAGACCCGTCGTGACAACCCGTCGCAGAGACCCGTCGCAGCTACCCATCGTGACAACCCGTCGTAGAGACCCGTCGTAGAGACCCGCAGCATACTTTGAAATACTTACCAATATATGAGGTAAACAAATTTTTTACTTACTGAAGGCACAGAATAAAAATAATACACGACAGAATGTGCAGTGGTTGCATTTGTTTATCAATGGATATGCCGACCCGGTTGCAACTTTGCCAAGTCGTCAGCAACAGATGCCTCTTAAAGCAATGTGACATGGTAATGTGATATTATAGATTAGTGTAATCCACAAGTACCTGATAGCAACAAACATTGGAGGTTCAGCAAAAAGTTCTACATATGCTGCATCTCAATGTTTGCTCACAATAAATGTGTTCCTCCTGAATGCAAGAGCCAGGTCAGCAGGTTTAATCATGCAAATTAAAGAGCCCTGGTAGTGGCAATGGAAGGTTACAAGTTCAATTCCTGAGTGAGGGTCCACTCAGCTAATCATCCACCCAAGCTGGATGCGGACCACTGAGAAGTCAAGAGCCACCCTTTCATAGGAAAAATGAAACGTGCCATGGAAATTAAGAATTTCTACCACTGGCTCAGCGGGGAGAACTGTTGACTCATAATTGACGGGGAAAACTGTGTTATTCAGCTGCGCGCGTTTGGTTTGCCGAGGGGCCGTAATAATTTCTGTCATGTGCAAGGGTGGATTTCACAATCGTGGACATGAGGGAAGACGAGGCAGCAAGAGGGTGGCGGTGTCCTTGACACGAGCCCCTCGCCACCTGCCTCCTGCGTTCCCTTCCAACGCAAATTTAGCGGGAGCAGAACTTGTAGCTTTGATAAGCGCCGGCAAATCTTTCCAGGATAACGCCGGCAATATCGGCCGAGCCCAAGCAGCCACCGGTGCGGCGGGCGAGGGTTGGGGGGGGGGGGGGCACGAGCAGCGCGGCAGCCGACGGGCGCGTTTGATCCGCGAACACGGGAACGGCGCGACGCCGCCGGCTGACGTCAAAGAGCCAATTCTCGACGGCACCGGGAGCGGCCGGTGTGCCGTCCCCCCCAGCGCCGTCCACAATCTGGGGGAGCCGTGGCGAGTGAGTGAATGTTGGGAGCACGGAGAAGGGGGAGGGGCGGCACCTGCCACGGCCACTCGCGACGCGTCAACACCCATCCGCGATGCGGCACACCGCGCGAGCTCGGCTCGCTCTGCTCGCTGCCATAATGAAGCCGATGGAGGGCTTCCAAACCCGATGGCCCTTGGCGTCTTGGGCGCTGTAAAAGTGCCACGCTCTCCTTACGAAAATTGACACAGCCAATTGTCACTCATCTTGATTGCGGTCATCAGAAATGTTCTTGTTATTTTTTTACAAATGGCTCAAAGCTCCTGGGAAGAAAAAGTCGATGGCTCCGTGGCTCACTCCAGCTTTCGACTGGGTTCATCTCCAGTTGCGGGTTTGGGTAGAAATTCCACATTATATTTTTTTCCCTCCATAAAATGATGCTTTACGATTTATTATAAAATGATCTGGGTGACCACTATGCACAAAATAGGTGTTAAGGATGGCTACGTTGAGGGCAGCGATTCTTTAAATTATCATACTGGACTATTCTCCCACATTTATGCTCCCCACCGACCAGCATGGCTAAATAAAAAATAATGTAAATAAAAAATGTAAAACAATCACACACCATGGGGGAGACCTCATGCAGCAGCGGAGTCACGAAAGGAATGTTGAGGTACAGTGCTCATTTGATCAAACTAATAAAAATAGCCAAACCAAGCCAAGGCCAGGATTCAACTAAAGACATTTCAAGCGAGAGGAGCGCTCCACCCAGTCACACGTACACACCTGCTCCGTGTATAAATTAGAGCAGTACCAGGAAGTAATCTCCGATAACGATTATATTTAAATAAAGTATCGTAAATATGT